TCAGGGAAATTATTGTTTAAAGGGTCTGTTTCAAGCCACACAGTGACTTTAGGCTAGAACCCACTAAAAAAAAGTGGCTGCTCAATTGCTTATCTCATCCCCACAATTCAAAGGACAGTGGCTCCTGGGGCCTGACCAGTTCTGGGAGTTACTCTACACACTGCCCTGGTGCTTCACCAGAAATTTTAATCACTCTGGTTGAATGAAGAGCATTCCCTCAAAACACAGTGTCCTTGGAGATTCAATATATCAAATATGAATCGTTCTCACTGAAGTTGTGGATCAGCAGATTGGATGCTGCATGCAAGGACTGGAAGCAAGAAGGAAACCCTTCGCCTCCTGAACAAGTTGTCTTACCATAGGACCTGTCAAGGAGAGTCCTATGAGCCATTTTCAACAAATTCCAACCCTTTCTCATGATAATCTTTTTCTTTACCCTTGAGTTAGAAATAACAGAAGTCTGTTCTAATTATTTGCTGATCAAGATAGGGGAAAAGTTAATCAGAAATTAGTTTTTGTACAATCATCTGTCCAGCCCCCAACTTCCACTTCTGTGTTCCATTTTCCTCCAGCCAACGAACAGTCCACATCAAATTTTCTAATCTATGCAAGTGCTTCTCAAACTTTGCTGAGGAGGACTAACTTCGTTTTGCAGTTGGAGAACCATGGTCTTACAGATTAAGTGGCTTGTCCTCATTCCCACAGTAAGAAAGAGGCAGACACAAACTGAAACCCAGCTTCCTGACTTCCAGCCAACTGTCCCCAGTCTTGAAATAAAACCGCTTATTTCTTCCTTTCCTTCCAGCAACTGCCCTATTTTTCTCCTTCTTTTTACTGTCACAATTCCCACACTTGTACTTAACTATCTATACCAAGTTTTCACACTGCCTGCTTTCTCCAGAAGCCCTGCAAGTTGGATCCTATGTCCACCAAGATGGAAGGTACTAGTCGAAAGGGCACTAAGTGACCAACATCATCAGCATTAGATGCCATGGAGGGTTCGTCTTTCCTAATAGACTATTAGCAGGGCCATGGCAAAGATTATATGTCTACTTTCTTTACCACTACGGCTTGCCCAGGGCCTGGCACCATCCAGGAGCTAGATGAATATTAGCTGACTAACAAGACTGCTAACCAGACTTTTCTTTCAGTACCTCTTCCTTTTGAAGGCTTTTGTGGTTCTCTTCTAATTGGATGAACGATGCTTGCCCCACCTACTCCTCCTGACATTAACTCTGGGCATTATCGCCAATTGATCAATACGTCCATTGCTGCAACACTGTAGGAGATGGAGAAAGAACCAGTCCAACATTGGGGTGACATGTTTTATCTGCAAAAAATATGATATACAAAGGAATAATGGAGTAACAAACAACTTTTTGCTCCTGCTGGGAATCTCTTGGGGACCTTACTCTTCTCCATATCACCATATCTTACCTGCTCTTCTGGCCCAGTTCTATCCAGACTCCTTTACAAAAGCTTTCATAGAACTGGGAGCTTACCATGTATCTTACTCAGCTTGGGTATCCTATATTATAATTTTAATGCTTCGTATGGAGTTAATCAGCCAAGTTACAAGCTTCAGGAAGGCCTGGCCCAATTAATGGCTCTTCAAAGCACTCAATAAGTATTTATGGAATGTATAAATAAATGAAGAGTGCATGATATATAACTTCAAGGTAATAATACTAGTTAAATTGCACTTCAATATTAACCTATTATGCTAATTAGTGATCCACATAAATTTGTTTAGTAAATAAAGTAATAATTGGAATTTTAACCTCTGGAATCCTGCATCGTATCATTGAATACTTTAATAGTTCAACATAATATTGGTGCAATGGGCAAAGGTGATCAAAGGGTGCACACTTATAATTATAAGGTAAATAGTTTCTGGAGATGTGATGTACAGCATGGTGATTATAGTTAACAATACTGTATTGTATATTTGAAAGTCGCTAAAGGAGAAATTGTAAAGTTTTCATCACAAGAAAAAAAATTATAACTATATGAGGTAATAGATAGTAACTAAACTTGTGGTAATCATTTCACAATATATACACATTGAATCATTGTGTTGTATACTTTAAACTAGTTTGTTATATATTAATTATATCTCAATAAACATGGAAAATATAGAATAATTTCAAAAATTAAAATTAAAAATATATATCACTGAAATATACCATTCCTGATAATTCAATATACTGTCTTTCTCCAGTTCCAAGGAGCATTTTGGTCCCACATTTTAACATACTGAAACCGGGATATGTCTTATCAAAGAAATAGCCATTGCCAGGTGGTAGTCATAATACTGTTGACATATTTGTGAACATGGTCATAACTGTTTGAATAGTCATCATTTCACTGAGTCCAAAGCAATTTAGTACTATATGTATAAAATCCATAAGCCAAGAAATGCAATCAAAGACAGCAGAAATTGCTAGATGTGTCATATTAGGTGAAAGAAATTCCAAAGCAACAAGAGGCTGATATAACCAATCATGTATCATACAGGACTTTAGTTAAAGCATTGAACTTTAATTTGTCAGAAACTTCTTGCTGGCTATTAGTAGAGAAGTTACATAGCTTGTAGTGACATATTCACCTGAATAACAAAACTATGCTTTTAGTCAAATAAGATAGTGCCAACATCAAACTTGCAGAATGAGTGTCAGTGGCTAGGAAGCAAATCCCAGAGACAAGACTAGAACACCTTTTTAAGAAATGCTGCACTATCAATGATGTTATATAAACACACGCACACACACACACACACACTGATGTGCTGTGTGAAGAGGATTCAGAGGAATTAGACTCAGTATACAGAATTTTTAGAAACATTTAATCAATTTATTTTACTTATATATTTCTCCACATATGCAATTACTGAAAAATCTATGTCTAAATCTAAAAGCACTGTTTCAGTGAGTACGAAACAAACATCCTATGTGATAATTGTTATGTCATAGTTTAATTGGCAACCTTTCTCCTTTCTTGATGGTATTTACAATCAAAGATGTCTTAGATTTGAATAGAAATGATAACTTGAATGGGGGCTAAAATAGGTTGTAGGTCTGTGTATTTCCAGGCTTCTCTCAATGAAGAAATAGAGCTTGATGTTTTGTTTGTTTGTTTGTTTGTTTTTTGGTGAGTATTATGTTGTTGCTTAGGAATGAGGTAGAAAGAAACTGTAATTTCTTTATAATTAATTACACTTGCTTACAGAATCATCGTAATTTGAAGAGAAGGTAGCTTTTCATATCACCACCTACTTCTTAAGTCACAGATTACATTCTGAACTAGAAAACATTTCATTTGTCATTAAACATTTTTAACTCAAATTTATTACATTTTTCCAATGTAAAAATAATGTGTTAGTATTGATAATGTCCTATATTAAAAATTGGCTATCGGTCACATTTATTCCAACCAAAATATTTGGTAAATTTCTTTCTAAAATTTTTTTCTTATAAAATTTTTGATGTCATTTCTTCTAGTTTGCAAAATATCTCAGACCTAAGTAATGTGTGTGTATTCAATGCACAGCATCTAGTAAGTACAAAACAATATAAAGAATGACAACATGCTTCATCTCACCACCTAGAGATTTCCTCCTAATATTTTTGGCCATTACAGTCGTATCTAGGACAAAAACAAGCAGCCTTACTTGCACACAGTGGATACTCACTACATCCCTGCTGAATGCATGAATGGTGAAAGAGAACTTGGAGAACAGCCCATATGTCTTGCTAATAGAATTAATTATACAGATCTCATGGTCTACAAGTCATTTGTCTTCTCAAATTTGCCTTATTCTTCTCAGATAGCAGGACCTTGGCTAGGGACAACCAACTTTCTGCTATTTGGCCACAGAGAACTCTGGGAGGGTTGGTCACTGTCCTCAGTTCACTCTTCATTCATTTGTTCATTCATTCAACAAATATTTATTAAGTATCTGCTATGTATCTGGAATACAGAGGGGGCAATAAAGAAATGGCCCCATCCTCTAGCAGCATATTATCTAAAGAAGACAAAACAGATAAACATAAACACTAATATATATGTTATATATATATACAAATTGTGATAAGTGTAGAACAGGTGGCTAGGAAAATAAATAAGCCGGATCATGGTTTGATTCAGGAGGGGTCAGAGAAAGCCTCTATGATGGAATGACAAGTCAGAAGGGTATGGAGTAACAAAAAGGAAGGTTCTGAGTCTGTGAAAGTGGGTGTGGACTAAGAATAGTGAAGGAAGAAGTGATAGGGAAAAGACTGAGCTGCAGAGGTAGGTATATCGTGCAGGACCTCGTAAGCTAGGGAGAGGATTTTGAATTTTATACTATGTATGCTTGAAAACCAATACGTATTTTCGTAATTTAAATAGCATTTATTTTTAATAGGCAACATCCACGATTCAAAGCATACAAGATCCAAAGATTACTGAATAAAAACTCTCCTTCCCTCTGGCTTCCTAGCCACCCAGTTCTCCCCGGAGCTGTCTGTGTGTACCTCTCGAAATACTCCAGGCACAAAAAAAGAACCTCTTGGTCTACATTGTAAGATACTTTAAGCAGGGGCGCGAGGCCATCGGATTTGCGATTTAAGACCACCCGGACACTGAGAGGGGGCTGGCTCTCTGCATTTAGTTCAAGCTCACGCATTTCACAAACCCCACTTGGCCGCTCAGTCTGTTTCTACACAGGAGATCCCTGCCCCAGCCCCAGGGCTTGGTAAGTTGCATCTCTGCAGGGATCCCACGCTCGTTCCCACGATATGCTCCCGGCAACCACCCCGCGCGCCCTCAACTCGCCAGCGGTCTCCAGCCAGCACCTTCCAGCCTGGAACTCAGTATCTCGGCACCCAGCCCAGGTGTGCTTGCCTTTTCAAAAGAGACCCGGCCAGATCAAAGGCACGCCGGGGCGGGAAGGCAGTGGCTGGTCGCTGGCTCCTACTGAGGCGGGCCTGGGCGGGGACAAGGCTGCGGGCGGGGTCAGGCTTGGGGGCGGAACCGACTCCTTAGTCGGCTGCAGAGCTCTCCAGAGCTCCCGCCGCCGCGCTCCCGTCCGGGACCCCGCCACCCACCGGGCGGTGGGCACACCTTGGTCCCCGGCTCTGCAAAACTCCAAAGGTAAATCCGCCTAGGACTCCAGCAGTTTGAGTGCTAGAGACCAACGACAGGGGCGGGCGGCTGGATGGCGGCGGAGGGGAGAGTCGCGCGGCGAGTTTCCCAAGAAAGCTAAACTTGTCCGAAGTTTCCTGTGCATCAGCTTGCACCCGGCGAATTGGTGACGGGCTTTTCCCGTGCGAGTGGTCTTTGGGCGCAGGAGAGACGAGAGGTAATTGGATTAATCTGCTTGGGTGCAGCCCAGATTTCTGTCTTGGATTGCGCAGCGCTCTGGGCGCAGTTTTTACCCTAGAAAGGGCGGGTAAATGACACGCAGTTGTGTCCCGCGCAGCCGCTGGGTGCCCCCGGGTCGGAGCGCGAGTTGTCTGGAGTGCCGGGTTGTCTGGAGTCAAAGTTCCATGATTTCTTTCCTCTTTAGGCAAGACTAGCTGGGTGCTGTCCCTCGCGGAGCTGACACCCGAGATCCTGCTATGGACGGCGAGAGCGAAGTGGATTTTTCTAGCAACAGTTTAACCCCTTTGTGGCGGAGGCGGTCAACCCCTCAGCCCCAGCTGCTGGGCCGAAGCAAGCCGAGACCCCAGTCGTACCAGAGCCCTAGCGGGTTGCTCATCACGGATTTCCCTGTGGAGGACCGAGGGACGCTCCCCGCCGCGCAGACTCACGCCCAGGTGCCCACCGCCTCGGACAGCAGGACGGTCCAGAGGAGTCCCCTGCTTTTGTGCGCCCATCGGAGGGTCGTGGCCAATGGGAGAACGGTCTCCCCGGAGTACAAGGCTGTCTCGCCTCGGCTCCGACAGCCCCAGTCATCCCAGGCCCCTAAAGCGCCGTCGGGTGGCTCCCCGAAATCCCCAGCGAATGGAACCCTGACCTCGCCTGCTCAGCAGCCACAGGCGCTGCGCCCCCAGCGGACTTCTAATGCATCCGCCCCCTGCAGCCCGGAGCAGGGCCGGACTGGATTGACAGCCAGCCCCCTGCCTTCGCCCGCTGCAAATGGGCTTACCCCTAATACCGATTCCCTAGGCTCCCGTTTGCAATCTGGCCAGATAGCTAAGGATCTTGAGCGGGAACCGTCGAGACTCTCTCCTGCGCCTCAGAAAAGATCTTTGGAACAAAAACACACCCTCCAAAGGTTGTCCTCACAGGAGAACGAGCTCCTGGAGAATCCTTCAGTGGTTTTGAGCACTAACAGCCCCGCTGCCCTCAAAGTGGGGAAGCAGCAGATTATTCCGAAGAGCCTGGCCTCGGAAATTAAAATAAGTAAGAATAGCAATCAGAATGTGGAGCCGCACAAGAGACTCCTTAAGGTGCGCAGCATGGTGGAGGGCCTCGGAGCGCCCCTGGGCCCCGCAGAGGACGAAAGTGAGACTGAGAACGACGTGGACAGCCCGGGGTCTCTGCGGAGAGGCTTGCGGTCCACGTCCTATCGCAGGGCGGTGGTCAGTGGCGTTGATTTTGACAGTCCTACCACCTCGAAGAAGAAGAACAGAATGTCCCAGCCGGTTTTGAAAGCAGTGATGGAAGACAAGGAGAAGTTTTCCAGTCTAGGAAGGATAAAGGTAAAAGGGAGCAGGAGTGTCGCGTGTCACTGACTAAGCTAGATGTTCACTAAGTCCAAAGTGAAGGTGTTGGGAGTAGGGAGGAGGGGCGCAGAGGAAACCAGAGTTATTGTTTTAATTCTATTGTTTGATCAAACCTGTGCACATCTATCTCTTGGCCATTCTGTAGTTGGCAGGCATAGCCCAAGCTAATGCAGCTTTGTGGGAGGACATGAAACTCTTACCACTTCTAAGCTGAGGCGAAAATGTGGGGGACAAGTGAGGAAAAAAATACAGTCATTTAAATATTGCCCGCATGAGTCCTGAACAATTTTAATACAGATTGCTGAAAAGGGGGTGGAGAGCACATGTGGATTTGCACTCTTGGCTGTATGGTCAAGCTGTCTGGTGCTTGTTTAGAGGTGTGAGTCAGTGGTTGCTGATTCATCACAGCTGATACAGGAAAATACTAATTTCCTTTGAGCCTACTGATTATTTTAATTATTTACATTAATGAATTATTTTTTGAGCAGTGATCACATACTAAATACCTCAGGTAAAATGTGAATTTTAAAATCGTGTGCCAGAATCACAAAAGACACAAAAAGCACAAATAGTTTGTCATCTTTGTTGTTACTTGTTTCTGTCAACAGGGCCTTTGGTTGTATTTTATTCCCATTTTGTGCCCATTTATTATTGAGTGCATTTAACAAGTTGGTAGCTCAAAAGGTCAGGTTCCAGTGAACTGTGTGGTATTTCTGCTCCCTGATAAAGGCCTAGGAGTTGTACTTGTTAAAATATTGCCAAATATGACATAAAGAAATAGGGAAAACTGGAGAAGGATATTTTGGAGTGTGCATGTGCTGCCTTCTCCAGAAACAAGACGGATCTCAGCAGTAGAGCAGAAATTCATTTTGGCAGTCACATCTTTTCTTGATTAATCTGAGAACTGGAACCAGTTGATGTAAATGTTACATATGTAATATTCAAGCAAGCATGTTTTATTATAGATCCTATGGCCTTAGAGAAATTACATAACATTTCCCCCCCAACTCTGCAAATATAGCAAAGTTCAATTTAACAGTGATGGTGAATCATGAGTGAAATAGGCTGAACTGCTGGTCATCTGAGGATTCTTAAGCCTTTTTGACAGGGTGTGAGGGACATTATACATTTTATTTCACTGTTATAGTGAATTGTGGTAGTTGTATGAGTGAACCACTCCAGGGATCGTCTGCTGTATGCTTTGGGAAATCTAATGAATGCAACAACCAAAAAATATTTTTTCTTAAAATAGCTGTATTTTCTATTTGGCTCACTCATACATAGTTTACTTTGCTTTTTTCTTTTCTTTCTTTCTTTTTTTTTTTTTTTTTGCTTTTCTTGTTTCTTAGAAAAGAATGCTGAAAGGACAAGGACCATTTGATGGAGAAGGTAAGCATTTGCTTTTCCAGACTTTTATTGCTGTTTCAATGTGGAATATCAATTATAAGTTGAAATCCAACTGCAGTTACAAAAACATTTAAGATGAGAAAAATGTTCAGCTTCTTCCAAAATTATACAGCTCAAAGCTCTGCACTAAGCTAAATTTTTATCTAGTAATACCAGCAGTGAATAAAATTAATGGCTTTCTTTGTAAACTGATAACTTTTCAGCCAAAATCCTGGGATTTTTCATTCTTCTCTACTCTGGGTCCATTCTTACCTCCCCCTATCCCCTCAATGGAGAAAATAAGAGCAAGATCTAGCTCTTTAGTTAAAAATTCTGAGAGCTTGGATTTTAGATCTTAAGTCACTTTTCCTTAGGTCATATTTCCTTTGGCTTAATACTCTTTTCCCCATTTTAGTATCTTTTCTGACTTCCTGTTTCCTTCTCAAGTTTCATTTTGGGTGAGATATAACTTTCTTGGCCAACAGAAACATATTCCTAAGAATTTGTAACCCATATATAGTATTTTTGTAAAGGGTCTCAAAAACAAAAGCAACTTCAACCAGGTGTTCAATCCCTAATCAGATTAGCTGGCTTTGTGTAAATAGATGGGTCAAGTGTCAGCCAACTGGAGGAGCATGAAGGGAGCAGCAGCCCCAGCTGCAGCCCTTGTAGGACTGGTGGAACATGGTGGAGATGAGGGTAGTTCCTTTCTGTCACGCTTTGAAATGCTAAGGTTTTCCAACTTTAAAGAATAATGAAAATGAGTATGCCTTTCTATGAGTAAATCTAATAGAAAACCACCCAGAGTTATAAATGATACAACCTTGGTGCTTATAAATCATTTTTCAGTATAATTCTTATAAAATTCATCCCTGTTGAAGCATTTAAACATGACTAGTTTTCTAAAAAAAGTATTCATTGCACCAATCTTAGAAAACTATTCTGTATGGAGAAGAAACCCGGATGCAGTGCTGTAGCTGATTCGGATAAATTATCTCCCTGATTTTATAATTGAGGAAACTGGAAGCTCTGAGAAGTTTTGTACCCTGCTGACATCACACAGCCGGTACTGGGACAGAGATCTGGTTTTTGGTCCAGTTTGCTTCCTCTTGCTCCACTTTATGACCATGAAGTGATCAGAGCATCTACTTAATATCTGTTTAGAGACGTGTTTTGCATCTTCTGGAATTTGACATTGATTCTGGGATTTCCACCTCAAAGCGTTAAAAATTCTGAGCTTTTTTAAAGTCAGAGAACAGATCGCCCGCAGAGTAGATCACTCTTCATTATAACTAGTTTTTTGTTGCTTCCTTTAATAAGGAGTTGTATCTGTGTAGCCTCTTGTCTCTTTTCTAATATGATGACCTAGAAATTCTTTTTCACATATATGTACATGAGAAATGCAGGATTCTTACGGTTAATGACTAACAAGAATGTACCTTAGGAAGCTGTGCCATAGAATGGTGAGAACCTGTGAAGTTGGAGCCAAGGACCTGGCTCCTATCGTGCTGATCTACTTATCAGTTGAGTGATATTGAGCAAGCATTTTAACCTCACTGAGCCTCGATTTCATCATTTGTGAAATGAGGCTAATAATACTACCGCCAGCGTTGTTGTGGGAATGAATGAGGAATTACTTCAATAATGTATGCATATGTTTTGTGCCAATTACTGAGTACTTTAAAGGGCACTAGAAGCTGGGGAAACTCAGTCTTTACCCTCACAATCTGTTTTACATATGCAGAACAGTCAGAGAACAGTAAAATCTTGCAGAGACCCCATATTCCTTTATCTCACTGCCTATAGAACATGCAAAAATAGTGGATGAGAGAAGAGGCAGATGTTTGCTTGCTTCAATAGATGGGAAAGGCGTTTCAAACTCATTGTGTCCCAAACCAAACTCCTAACCTTTCCCACTTAAAGTTCAGTCTCTTCTGGTGTTCACCTCTCCCATTTTCCAGTTGTGGGTCTTGCAGATCTAGGAAACACCCTTACCACCTCCCTTTCTGACCCCATATCCAATCCACTACCAGTCCTTTCTAAGTCCCATATCCCAAGCTTCATTATCTTTCATTGACCACTTTAGTAGCATCCTCAGTCTCCTAAGTAGTCAATGTTTTACCCCTCCGGTCTAATCAAATCTTTCCTTTTAGTGGATTCCCATTGCAATCAGGATAAAATACTATCTTTACAGTGTGAAAGAAACTCATTCTTTTTGTACTCAGGATAAAATTCAGTTCTTTAACATTGCCCGAAAAACAGTGCTTGATTTGGACTGTCTGGCTTGTCTCCCCAAACTCAACTTGGCCTCATTGTCTTCTGGACACCCACTCTCAGGCACATTGACCTGCCTTTTTTCTTCTGAGGGACGATATTCTCACTAGCCTCAGGGCTTCTGCATATGCTTTTTCCTTTAGCTTTGTGCCTCCTCAGCTTTCAGATCTTAGATTTCCTCATTGACACCTGTCTGACCCCCAGATGAGATCATACCTTGCCACAGTCTGTTCTCAGAGCACCTGTATATAAATCTTTCAGTGTGTAGGTGTGTATTTGTGCAAGATCATTATGTCCTCAACCCTACAAGGACTTGCCTTCTCACTTGGAATGAAAACTAAAGCCCTTTCAATGGCATTGAGGCAAGGTCCTACATGAGCTGTCCTCTATTCATCCCCAGTCTCCACCTCCTAGACTGTTTCCCCTCTCTCACCTTATTCCAGCCATACAGGCCTCCTTGCTGATTTTCATACATAGACACCCCAAGTGCAGTCCTGCCTCAGGGCCTTTGTACTTGCTCTTCCTTCTGATAGGATATTCTTTCCCCAGTTGTACAGGTGTTTCCTTCACCTCTTTTAGATCTTTGCTTGAATGTCACCTCAGTGGGACCTTCTTAAACTACTTTATTTAATATCTACATATGTTCCTTGTAACATTTCCCTCCTTTTCCTGTGTAATTTTTTTTCCATGACACTTATCAGCATCTGACATATAAATTACTTGTTTATTTATTGTCACACCTCATTCTACTATCAGCTCCATGAAGATTGAGAGTGTCTTTTTTGTTCATTGTTCTATCTCCAGTGCCCAGCAGTTGTTGGAATCTAGTAGGCATTTTCTGAATATCAGTTAAATGAATAAACGAATGAATGACTTTGACTTTTTTTTTCATTAAATTTTTAACTCATGAGGTGCAAGAAGTGTCTTTTATTTTCTGTTTACTCATAGCCCTTGGCGCATTTTCGATATACACTAAATGTTTGTTAAACAGATAAATGAATGGTGATGGGCCTTGAAGGAAAGGTAGGGTATGGATTCAACTTAACCTAAGGAACAGTGGTTTAAAACAGGTCTGACTGTCCTTCATGGGTGGTAGACAGAGACATGGAAATTTTGCTTCAGTTGGCATTTCATGTATGGGCCCCTCCCCTTCCGCTATGGGTGAATTTGGGACAAAGCTATGCGAGTGAGAAAATCACTTTTTGGTAATTGGAATACTCTTCAGTGACAAAATCCATTTGTCTCTCTGTTTATTAAACTGGAGACCAAACATTGTATAAATATGGATGATGGTTTAGAACAAAGAGCTTGATGGGGAGCAATTAGTGACATGTAGGATTTGTTTTCTTGCAGAAAATGCTGTCCTGTATCAAAACTACAAAGAAAAGGCCCTTGACATTGACTCTGATGAAGAGTCAGAGCCCAAAGAACAGAAGTCAGACGAAAAAATTGTGATTCACCATAAGCCACTGAGATCCACGTGGAGCCAGCTCTCTGCAGTGAGTGTTTACCTTCTTTTCTATCTGCAGGGGTGGAAAAACCAAGCTGTGGAAAGTATGCTAGGATGTTGCTTTAATTTTTTCCGCCAATGATCCTGTAACCCCTAAGGAGTAAGACTCTTCTTTGATTATGAAATGTTTCTTGAAACTCTGCAGGTACCAGTGAGAACATGAACTTTGACACTTCTGATTAAGAAAATTAGGTTTCTATAAAATAAAGTGCTTTGAGACTGATGTACAATGGATTCTAGAAATTCTTTTTTACAGTATATTCTCTTGTTTTCTTATATAGTTTATATGTGGTAGTAACTTAATTTATCCTGAACTTTATCATAATTATGGCTATTTATACATATATGTGTATGCTTGTATATGTCTCTATGCACAACGGGGAGTGTGTTACAGTTCTTGGAAATTCCTTTGATATAGACACATATTTTCTTGAAGCTGATTAACGAATGGCATTCTGTTCCATCTTTCTCTGTATATCTTTTGTGTGCAAGTATCTGACACTTATTTTTGTGTTGATGAGTAATTTCTTCTCTCTGCATCAAACATCTTTTGTTTTTAGCCATAATTTCTTTTCCTTCTGGCTTAACAAATGTTACAGTGTGATGCTTCGTTTATTTGCTGAGTTTGGGCACAGCATTTGAGGGCATCTCATGCATTACCAGGTAGAAAGGAATTCTCATGGCTGGCTTGAATGGTGGGAACATTGCATTAAGAAACAAGCCAGTACATCTCTGCACATCCTTAGGCAATATGGGAGCAGACAGTGTTCCCTCTTAAGCTGAAATGCATTGGCATTGTTTAGAGTCATGAATCTCATGTATTTAGGATCCCACCAGTATAAGAAAAGGACTTAAACTTAGAAACCTTGGATATGGGTGTATGCTGATGATGGAGATGACTTCTGGTTCAGGCTCTGCTTCCCCTCTTTTACCCTATATTGGAATTCAGAATTCTAGACACCAAGCCCTTTCTCCTTATCTCCCTCATACTCTCTAATTTTGTTCTAAGGAGGATCTATTCATTTCCAGTGCCTTTAAGGTAGGCACCCTTAGTATTATGCCAAGGATTACAATGCCTACAGGGACAGGACAGGTAGTGAGACCAAGTGTGCTGGTCAGTGTGGGTTACGGGAGGTGTTGGGGGCTGTGGTGAACAGACCTTATCCAAATTGAATAGCTTGCCACTTAGCTCAAACCAGCCCAGTGTTGCCAGATCTTATATTTAGAAAAAAGAATATTACAGAAATAAAGATGTTTATGAGGATTATCTTAATTCAATTTTTTAAAAAATGTGTGAGCCCAATAAAATATTATGAGCCAAGACTTAGCCCCTATATTGATACTTTGCAACTTCTGTGTTTTTTTTGTGATTTTTGCATGTGGTGAGGTGCTGACACCTATCCACAGAATTGGCATATTGGTAGCTATGTACCCTAATCCAATGATCTCATGATATGTATATACCAAAGTAGATACTTGGAAAAACTCATGACAAGGCCCATAGAGGCCATGCTGGCTCTAAATGACTATCATTCCATTGTTGGTATGGACCATTTGGTAGCGGATCCTCAAGAGGTAAGCTGTGGATTTTTTGAGTTCTCTCTCTTTGGCAGCAGCCACATTTGTTAGCACTGGCCTAAATCCTGCTGTTTTTCTCTGAACGCTAAACTGAGATGTGTCACTTATACTCTGGTCCAACTAAGCTTCAGTACTAAAAACGAAGCTGCCATATTTACACCTCCTGGACTTTGGTTCTCATTTAGATTAACAATTCCACATTAAAATAACACTACGCATCCTTTGGAACAACTTCAAATATGGGCATGCATTTTATTTGGCAAAAGATAAATGGACTGATGTGCCTTTTGTTAACAAGATTGTTATCAAGAGGTTCTCTGGTGATAAAATGTAAAACTACGAAGTGGGTTCTAACTTTAGTGTGTGTTTTCTTGGATTTGAGCAGTTCCCAGGAGGCTTGTGTATGTTTATCATGTTGCTTGGCAAGTACATTTAATGGAAGCAGCGCGATTGAGCTTTGCCACTTCTCAATGCTTAGGCACCAGCCTGCATTTTCTTTGTGCCTTTCGTGTGTCTTTTTCACATTTAAAACATTTTACTTTAATTTTTTTATTATAAAGTACTTTAAACACGCAAAAAAAGATTAAAAAATATGTATGTGTACTAGATTTCCAAGTACCTGCCACCCAAACTGCACAAATTAAGTTAACATTTAAACATCCTTCAGGCATCTCCTTTTTAGGCAGACCCACTTATCCACCCTCCTCTTCAGGCCTTTTCCCCTTTCTGCCTCCCCAGGGGTAATCCCTCTCCTGAAATTCTGTCCTTTCCGTACCACGTGGGTTTTCTATTCACCAAAAAGATGCAAGAAACTCTGGCTTTTAGGAAAGTAGATATTTTAACAGAAAAAGCAGCCATTCCTTTTTTAGAAGTCTGGCAGTTTGTATGTCCCCATTGCAGCTGAGACCCTAAAGAGAGAAGGCTTCATGAATTAGAGATAGTGTCAAGATGTTTTCCATAAGGGATAGGCACCTCCAGGTCTCTGTCTGACCTCCTGCTCTGGTCCCTCTATGTAAAGGGGCTGCAGTGTTTGGGGCAGGTTTTGGAAAAATGCTTTTTATATATTTTTCGCATCATCTTTCTACACTTAACTTTTAATATACCAAATTAATATACACCATCTAATCATACATATTTTACTTTAACACTAAACTCTCCCAAATAAGGCCTTAACTCTAGGGAGAGTAGGACAGGGGGTTTTCTGGCAAAGGGTTAAGTCTCAAGTTGGCATCTACCTTGACTTTCTACCTTGACTTTCTACCTTGTGTGAATATTAGCTGCTGTTGGTTGTTTTATTTTCTAAAAATTTTTTATCTTTGTTGCAAACACATGCCTGCCTCTTGGGATGATGCAACTTTTCTTATCAATTGACCATGAAAGCATTTGGCTTGCAAAAGGTTCTTTACAAGTACAGCAATTGGCAGTCATTTATGGTGGTTCTGTAATGTCTTGAAGCCTTCAGTCTGTAATGTCATTTCTCTTAGTGTGTTTGCTTATGATATGCTTCCTTTGGTTTCAGTGGACAACCACACAGATGACAGGTGGTTCTCTATTTACAGTTTTGGGGACAGGTTTTACTGTAGTGTTGTGGTCATCTAGGAATAAGAGAGAATTAGAACTGTTTAAAAGAGGGATTTAATAGGGCTTCGATAGAATAATGAAAGTTTAGGCTGCCACAGACTTCTCTAGTCAGATTAAAGTGAATTAATTGTGGATGTATTTAGTAGTGGCGGCTCTGCCAGCAGGTTCTCTGTGTAGAGCGAGGTGTTCTCTTGTAGTCAGGAGCACGACCTGGGCTCCTTCATAAGATGCTGACAGGCTTACTCTTTGTTCACTTGATTGTCAGAGTAGCTCGATCTATTCTTAATTAGAAATACAGGATTTCTTTATTCCAGAGAGTATAACTTTGTGCTACTCTTTAGGCCTTGAAAAACACTAATATATGAGAAATAATTTGGATGATCATGGTCCCCAGTTTAGGGTTGGTCATAAGTGGAAGAGATTTGAGGTTTTGAACTTGAAAAGTCTTTCTTTTCTGATCTTTAGAGATCTGTGCCCAGAGACAAGAAATCTGCCACACAGGTGAATCGCCCAGTGACTCACCTGATGGCAGTGTGAGTACTAAGCCAAGAGTTCTTAGATCTCTGAGTAAAGCTTGTGGGCTTGAAGGAAAATATTGGTTTTATTATTAGTCTGAGCTAGAACACTAAGGACTTATTACAGTTAGTGAGTGCCAGGTGTGTAGCAGCTGAGTCCTGGATGCAAAGTGAGCTTCAGGTTTTCCTTTAATGGGATCCCAGGGTATTTAAATACAACAGAAAATAAAAGATCTTCATCACAAACTATATATGTACTAAAAAAATGACTGCTGTGAACCAGTGTTTGTTTTGCTAAGTTCAGTGACAGCACCAGAGCCACACTCACCAGCCGTACCCTGACCCCATTTATTTGGCATGGGGTGTGTTTGTGTAATTTCCATCACCTTGACATGCCAGGTGCTTTTGAAAAAGAGCGTTCAGGCTGTAGAGAGAAAAACAAGCATGCGGGCAAGCTTTCCACTGAATTCAACACCTAATATAGTCATCTCTACTGTACTCTTCATTCGTCCTTGCTGACATGTGGCTTTATTAGCAATCTTAAATCATTTTGAATATTTCCTCAGTTTGCTCAAAAATTTTAAACTCTTTAGGACCTAGTTTTTATATTTTCGTCACAGTGTGTCTTCAGCTGTGCTTAGTGTGGCGAATGGTGTGATGGGAGATGCCGAGTCAGGACTGCTGTCCTGAGCACAGGCTCAGCTCTTAGGCACACAGAGCTTGCCTCTGGATGACTTTCTGGAACTGCCAAATGAGAAAGGACAACTTGAAAACTGGCTGTTTTATTATAAATATAATTTCGTTCAGTTGAAAATATAATAGATGCTGGAGTCTTAGCAGTTTGACTGATGAGACTTATTCTTTTAGAATTTACAGTGTTTATTGTGAAAGACACTATTTTCTACTGAAAATCAGAGCTCAACAGATGTAGTAAACCTGTGTATCATTCTGTTTGCAGAAATGCTTGAAGCATTTAGAGATCATAGAAAATTTCATCTTTTTTCCTTCAATTTTCTTACTTGTCTGAAATAATTTTTAGTTGTTCGGTAACTTGCTGCTTCAGATCATATCTTCAGACATGTAATTTTCCATTTGTTTTTATATCATAGTGGCCTCATAAACTTTTTTTTTTTTAACCTTAGATGGTGATTAAAGCCCCATTAAATGCCTCTCTTAAACAGTTCTAATTCTCCCTTATTCCTAGATGACCACAACACTACAGTTAAACCTGTCCCCAATGCTGTAAATATTTATCTTCTGTGTTTGAAAAATACAGAAACATTCTTGTTTTTCTGTGTCTGGCTTCCTTTTAAGG